TCTGTTAGCTGTTAAAAATTAAATGTTTGGCAACTTTAGCTGTTTATAATTAGTTGTTTGTGAGTAAAATTACATATAAGGACATCCCTCCATTAATGTTAATTTGTGTATGATTTTAATTTTTTTTAAAATTTGATAAAATACATACATTATACAAGAAAATGCTTTACATATATTTTTTTGTTGGACAAAAAAGGCTACTTTGTTTTTTTTTAATTTAAGAAATGAGAATTTACATTTATATTTTATAAGTAGATTTTTTTAGTATTTTTCTCATTTATCACTCTACAAATAACAACTATGCATGATCTATTTCATTTTATAATTTTTTAAATATGATATCATAAATATATAAAAATACTCTACACCAATTTTAAATTAAAAAATTAAATAAATTAGTCGACACAAGCATCACAATCTGAAGTATCAAACATATTTTTACAACTATGCATGATCTATTTCATTTTATAATTTTTTAAATATGATATCATAAATACGGAGTATATAAAAATACTCTATACCAATTTTAAATTAAAAAAATAAATAAATTAGTCGAAACAAGCATCACAATCTGAAGTATCAAACATATTTTGAGACGACATGAACATTAGAAGTGACAAAAAATCAAACAAGCTCTCGACTAATCAGGAAATTACATGGAGAAAGTCAGGAAAACTTCCGGTGCCGTGAGGATCGGAGAGAGACGCAGCACCGAAAGAAGGGTAAGAAACGGAAAAAGAGGTGAACTGCTAAATGAAATGCTGCTAGGATTGGCATTTCAATTTTTGACTTCGGTTCTAAATGCCAATTCCAAAAGCCATTATCCAAACAATTAATTTGGCAATTTGACTAATCCAATCCACCGTTTATGGTCAAAGATGCCAAATGCTGGGTAAAGCGCAATTTACCAAACATGGCCTATGATTAATTGTCATTGAATGTTCATTTCTCCTATCATAATGCTAGAGGACATTTATAGCAATGTAATTAACCGATCAAACCAAGTCCGAGATGCATTTTCAGTTTGGTCTAATTTAAAATCCATAGTTTTAAAAACCAAACTGGTCAAATTAGTTGTTCAAACATACACACACTAGTACATACTTCTTCCGTTCCACTATATTCGTCCACTTTTGACTTTTGGAACTGTTCATATAAGCACTTTGACTCATCAAATTCTCTCAATGTGTAAACCTAAATATAGTCATGTGTAATCTTGTTTGATTTGTTTTAACATATAGATTATTAATATATAATTTCTATAATTTTTTAATATACAAATTACAAGATAAAATGGATTAAAGAAGTGTATTGGATGGTGTGTAAAAATGAAAGTGGACAAATACTCTGGGACGGAGGTAGTATATATGAGAGTTGACCAAAATTATAATCAATTTAATTTACTGGAGTTATGTCACTAAATTAAAAAATAAATTTACTTATTTTGAAAATAATTTTCTTTGTGCTTATAAGCTGGTCAAAATTATTTATAAGTATTTTTTTAACTTATAAGCCGGCTGATGACATCTTTCTGTGTGCTTATAAGATGACTTATAAATTGTTTATTAGCCAGAAAAAAATAGGTCTTAGCTACTTATTTTTAAGTCAAATTTTCCATTTTTTCATTTTGATCTGATTATTTACAAAAGTGTCCTTCACCATTTCTGAATATTTCCAAGTGACTTATAAGCAGCTTATAAGTTGAAAATTATTTATCATCAGTAAGCCAATAAGCACCAGCACAGATAAGAATCCCGAAGAGGTGATTTTAATTTTCAAATAAGTTAACACAATGTTTAAAAACACTCAAATAAAATGTTTTCATGAATGCATGCATTTTGTAATAATATTAAATATATCAATGATTTAAAATTTAAATCATAGCTATACCAATATATTATTTAAAGTTTTTAAAAAATAAAAAAAATCCTTAAGAATCTTTGTTTTTTAACTATCAAATATTTAGAAGCTTTAAGCTAAAGTGTAACAAAAAATATTTTAGCTTTGATGGTCTACAACTAAATCAAGTGTTTAAGAGAGTAGGTGTTCAAACCCCCTCTTCTATAAAATTTTTGAAAACAAATTCAAAAAAAAAGACCAGTTCAATCGGTCCAACTGGCCGGTTCTTATCGGTGCACACCAGTTCAAACCGGTTCAATGCATATTGTAGTCTAGAGGACTGGACCATCTGGATCGGACTGCCACTGGACTGGACCGATCATACTACCGATTCGCCAGTTCATAGTTCGTATTTCTTGGTCTGATTTTTAAAACTAAGATAAAACCCCAGTCTAGCATAAAAACAGACAAAATCGTCGGACCAGCCAACTCGGATGACCCGGGTTGGTGCGAACTATTCACAGATTGGACATAAATTAATTTTTTTTCTAATAAATTTAAAGGAGAAAAAGAAATTTTCTTTCAACCAGACCTTAACTTAATAAGTTCTCTTAAAAGTCCCATCTATTGGTATACCCCTCCTACAACGACATAGACCCATCCAAGCGCCTGCATATTTGATCTTATTTTTTATTACCTCTGTCCAAATGTATTTATACAGTTTGACTTTCGAGTTAAATTAGAGAAACTTTTAACTTCAATTGATCTCAATTGTATTGCATGTTAGTACAATGAAATAAATTTTTGAAAATTTGCAACAAGATTAACTTAATAAAATCATTTTTATTCTAATATACATTAGAACAAATAGAGTAAAAGGGGAGGGAGTATTAATTATTTTAAGAGGAACTATTGAACTTGACAAACAAGCTTTCAAGAAAGGAGGACTTTTGACGTTAGTGATAGGACTTTCAATTTCAAGCCTACGTTGGTGAATGCGTATTGAAAATGAGAATGGGATTATGATTGATTGTCGTTGGTTGTTGTTCATTCCCCCTTCCATAATGCAGAGAAGGCTATTTATAGCCATGTAATCAAACGGGTTGTCTGGCCGGTCGGGCCATGACCCAAATGCATTTCCGTCTGGTCTAATGTAAAAACCCGTTTTGGCATAAAAATGGATGAACCTGTCGAACCAGCAAACCCCGATGACATGGGTCAGACCTAAAATCATTTTTTTAATTAACTTTATGTCAAGGAACCAACTCAACCAAAAGCTCAAGCTTGTGGTTGTGGCCCAGGAACAATTATTTATATTCTAACACGCCCCCTCACGTGCAGGCGTAGTCTTTTTTCGAGCTTTGCACGTGAAACCTTAATTTTTTAAAGTTGGGTGGCGGTGAGTTTCGAACTCGTGACCTCTTGGTCATCAAGGCTTTGATACCATGTCAAGGAACCAACTCAACCAAAAGCTCAAGCTTGTGGTTGTGGCCCAGGAACAATTATTTATATTCTAACACTTTAAAGCAAAAAAAAAAAAAAATACTCCGTATGTGTTATCTTTCTTTGGACCATGTCTTAACTGAATGGCTTCTCTTAAAAGTCCCGCGCCCATCCATTAGTATACCCTTCCTACAAATCTACAATGAACATGGACTCGTCCAGGCACTTACGAGTTCTATCTTATTTTTTACTACCCATGTCCCGTGTATTTGTTGAGTTTGACTTTTTGAATTCAACGGGACAAATCTTAAGCTTTAACTAATCTCAATTTGTATTACATATTAGTATAATGAAATAAATTTTTGAAAATTCTCAACAAGATTAATCTAATAAAATCATTTTTATTTATATACACATTACAATTTTTATTTAGTTCAATCTCAAAGCTTATCATGTTTGGCTCCAAAAAATTAAATTATACGGAGTATAAACAAACTCGCGACTTTGTAAAAAGAAAGTCTATTGAACTTGACAAACGAATAGACTTTGTAAAAAGAAAGTCTTTTGACTTTAGTGCGATAGGGTTTTCAACCCTACGTTGGTGAATGCATATTGAAAATGAGAATGAGGTTATGATTATGTTTGATTGTAGCTGATTATTGTTCATTTGCCCTACCATAATGTTGGAGAAAGACATTTATAGCAATGTAATCAATTCTGCGGTTTGGCAGATCAGACCATGACCCCAATGTATATATTTCTAGTCTGATTTAATGTAAAAACCTCGTTTTAGCATAACAACGGATGAAACTGTCGTACCAGCCTACCCGGACGACCTAGCTTGACTTGAGCGGTTAACGGGTTGGACCTGAAATTATTTTTTCTAATAAATTTTAAACCAAGAAAAGAAACATGTTGTACTCTTTTTTTTACGATGCCCTAACTTAATGACTTCTCTTAAAAGTTCCATCTATTGGTATGGCCCTCCTACAAGAGACGTAGACACATCAAAGCTCCTAGGGGTTCCATCGTGTTTCTCACTACCTCTCTCAAATTATATTTGTCCAGTTTGGCTTTTTGAGTTAAACTAGACACTTTGAGTTTTAATTAATCTCAATTTTATTCCTCCAAGAGAATGAAAAACAAGATGTACAGTATTAATTGATTGTAGTAGTCGTACATGCTAATTTAATACTCCCTCCGTCCCCAATTTGATTACAAATTGCGGGTTATGGAGTAAAATTTTCTACTTTTTGAAATCATTTTATTTACAAACTGGTATATCAATAAGTTATAAAAATTACATATTAAAAAACTACGTCAAAAGTTCTACAAAATAAGAGGTGACAAGAATATTTTATTTTATCAAATACTTGTTGAAATCGCGTAAACAAACAAAAGTTATCGAGAGGAGAGAGAAAAAAAATTGTAATCAAATTGGGGACGGAGGGAGTATCTCGATGGGAAAAACAAAAGAAAAGAAAAAAACGGAAAAATATGAGTAATTAGGAAAACTTCAATTCTTACCATATATAGTAGCATGCATGACAGAAGATATCCACGTACTGGTAACTTACCATACGAAGAAAAGTTTAAATTATTATTATTGTAGCCGTTACAAGAGAAGGTTAACTTACCATTAAGAAGATCTCGAACAAGAAGAAAAGAAGAAGATCAGAATCAATATATATTAATCTTATTAATATTATTATAGAATCGGAGAAAGATTAGAGAGATCTATGCGAAGATTTTCAGAAAGATTTGAGCAGTAAAAAATAAAATGGCAGCAGCAGCTAATAATAACAATAATAAAGATTGGGGGAGCAGCCGTTGTGCAGCATGCAAGCAATTGAGAAGGAGATGCCCTTCGGATTGCATATTTATGCCATATTTCCCACCAAACGATCCTCTTAGATTCGCTTCCGTTCACAGAATCTATGGCACCAACAATGTCGCCAAGATGCTCCAGGTTCCCCCTTTATTTCCTTCTACTACTACTACTACGATCAAAGTTTATTCAGTTTGACTAAAAATGCACCCGACCTTCTGACCCCAATATCTTTACGGGCATCACAAATACGGAATTATACTGTTTTGTGAGATTTTCAGTAAAGGCATCGGGCCAGAAGGTGGAGTGCGAGTAATAACTCGGGGTACCCAAGGTCTTTTTTTTTTTTTTTTAATTTCTCCGTGGTAAAATGTGTTTGGTAACGAGTGATTTTGGGAAAGCAGGAAGCGGAGGAGCACCAACGGGGAGACGTGGCAGAGTCGTTGTACTACGAGGCGCAATGCCGGCTGAATGATCCGGTGTACGGCTGCGTGGGAATGATCGCCGTTCTGCAGCAGGAAATCCAGCGGTGTGAGTGGCTGTTGGCGAAGGTGGAAGCACAGATCCAGCTCCTCAAGGCTACTCAAGCTGCTGTTGTTGTTGTTGATCCAAATTCACATTGATTTCATTGCAATGTCGTCATAGTATTCATTGGCTAGCTGCTGTTTTAATTTTTCCTGTTTTTCATCTCTCTTTTTTATCTTCCACAAGAGAGCCTTTCAAGATCACAAAACGTTTACATTACAACGTTTACAAATAACAAAAACAACTGTTGCTTGAAAGATCCATGCTCGCGAACAAGCGTAAAATGATATGATTGTACTCAGATTCATGTCCTTTTGTTGTCACTGAAGCACTTTCACTAAAGCGGTCTACAAATGACCTCGCCATTGTCATCTCAAATGTGTCATCAACGTCTTGAATGTCCTTCTCATTGACCATTGCGGTTAGATTTTGAAGGCATCTAGGTATATTAGCACCAAAAATGTTGTTATTAGAAAGGTCTAAAATATGAAGGGACGAAAGATATATAACAAAACTCTAGAGGCAATTCACCATAGAACTTAATTATTCCATTGGAGCTTTAAGATTGCCAAATTTGAAAGACTAGTCCCTAGCCATCTAGGGATATGATATTCCATGTGAACCCATTCTCGCCAAAATCAACTTTGGAATAAAAGGGGGCAATTTTGCAATGATGGAGGCATATGACCAGAGAGTAGGTTCTTGTGCAAGTCTAAAGATTTCAACTGATTCAAAAGGCCAATGGAATCCGGAATACTTCCAACAATTTGGAATTTCTCCAGACAAGCCATTCATTCCCAAATGAAGCATCTCGAGGTTGTTCGACACATTCTGTGGATGACATAAGAATTCAGAGACATCTCATGAGAATGAATTGTTTGACAGGTCTAATTCTGTTATGTTAGCAGAGATGCGAGGAAAGGGACCACTCAATTGGTTAGAGCCCAAGTACACTAGTCCACCTCCTTTCTGTCTAGTTGGAAATGATATAGTTTGAATTTCACCTACCTAGCAATTTATTGTGTGAAATACTAACCCCAATAATATTAGAAGACAAGTTCCAAAACCAACTTGGAATCTCATCCTTTATCCCAGTTTGAGATATATCCACGTCTTGAAGGTAACGTTGAGATTGAAACCAAGTAGGAAAACGGGGACCCAAATTCCAACAACTCAGTGCAAGGCCATGAAGTTTGAAGGGAGGCGCCCAATTTGGACTGACATTTAAGGTTAATCGATTTCGAGATGCGCATAAATCCCTTAACATGCATTCTGAGATTGAAAAAATGGCTTTCGTTGTCAGAAACGTCCAAATATTGCATCATTGGAAACAAACTTCCAAAACTATCATCAAGAAGAGGCCCAAAGAACTTGGTCAGACACAACTCCTTCCCAGTTGTTGCAGGACTTGCAGCAATCAGAACCATGATCATCAACCAGTTGTTTCGGGAAAGATCTACACATTTCATATGTAGTTCTCTATTATTAAATATTATATCTCTTTTTCTTCATTTTGACCTTAGTCATTTAGTATTAAATTGAATGCTAAAAGTATAATTTTACAATAATGATTATGTTTCTGTCTTTTCATAATTAATACTAGACGTCACAATTTACGTGTCTTTTATCAACATGAGTCATTGTTGATTGAAACCATTGTCTACATATGTCATCTTTGCTCGGAATCATAATCCATATCCATAGTTTTCGGTCAAACTGATATTAGAATATATCACTAGAAATAAGATTGATGTGAAATTAAATGTGAAATTTGCACTAAATAGGACTAAAACATAATGACTTTCCTAATGTAGGACTTAAACTTTTTTATTCTCTAAATAGGACTTAATAATGACCTTGTGGGGGGAATAATGTCCAGTAATGATGGACATTTAGTTGAATAATGATTACATGATAATGACCAAAGGTCCTACATTGGGAAATAAAAACATATGGTCCTATATTGGGAAAGTCATTATGTTTTAGTCCTATTTAGGTAAATTACTCAAAATAAATTTCAGTTTCTCATATTAACATCAATATGACATAAGATAAAAAAGACTATTTATGAAAAACTCACAAACATAATATTTAATAATATAAGATAAAGTCTGAAATGAAAATATCCAAAGAAAGGAGTGTTAAGTACTATACTAAAACTAGTTTGAAAATTAGGAAAGTGCAATTAGTGTGATTACTGATTACTAAACATGTTGTTGTGGGGGTGTGCCAATCAGTTATCACCACCCCATCTTGATCTTATAGGTGGTCAGTGGTCACCAAGGCTCATTACTATTTTGGTCAGTTCTTCCCGCTTATGTGTAGGAACAAAATGGCCGTCGAAGCTTCATCGCCGGCGCCGAGCCAATCAAGAGGATCCCCTCGAGATTCTGGTTTCTCGTCCACGTCTAGAAGCGCAGATTCCAGATCTCCAGATCCGCCTGTCATCACCAACACCTCCGCCGCATTAAATTCGGCTTCCACCTTCCCATCCGACTTCCGACTCCCAAGCTCTGTCGCCACCGCCGCCCTGTGCAGCTCCCTGTCCAATTTGCGGCAATCGCTACCAGAGAGGCCCCAAATTTACGATTTCTCTGAAATCCGAGCTGCCACAAACAATTTCCTCTCGAAGCGCTACTCCTCCGCCTCCTCTTCCCAATCGTGGCGGTGCCTTCTTCGCGGCAAAGAAGTCATCATATTCCAGCGATTAATCCGGAGATCCATGGAGAAATCGGGACTAACGGCCAAATTATCAGTCATCTGCCGGAGCCATAACCGGAGTATAATCAAGCTCCTAGGCGCGACGATCTCCGGCAATCAAATTTACCTTGTTTACGAATTCGTTTCTGGATCCAACCTCGCTCTATGCCTTCGTAACCCTAGAAACCCTAGCTACACGGTTCTCTCGACATGGCTGTCGAGAATGAAAATCGCTACAGATTTAGCCCAAGGTTTAGATTATACACACAATATGACGGGGCAGGGATCGAGTTTGGTCCACAAACACGTGAAGAGCAGCGGTATCATCCTCACCGAGGATCTGTCATCGCTCAACGCACGGATTTGTCATTTCGGAGCGGCAGAGCTCTGCGGCGAGACAGAGATCACGGAGGAGCCTCCGGCGACGGGATCGAGATCTGAGAATCGGAACCGGCAGTTCGAAGGCGTGCACGGTTACATGTCTCCGGAATTCCAGGTCACTGGCCTCGCGACGAAGAAATCCGATGTATACGCATTCGGAGTTGTGCTTCTGGAGCTTTTCTCCGGCGAGGAGCCGGTGAAGTTCAAATATGACAAGGCGAGTGGGGAGTACTTGAAAATTTCAGTGGTGGAGACGGCGAAAGATGCAATTGGTGGCGAAGAGGCGGAGAAGGGGCTGAGACGGTGGGTGGATGGGAGGCTGAAGGACTCATTTCCGGTGACGGTGGCGGAAAAGGTGATCCGGCTGGCGTTGGATTGCGTCCACGTGGAGGCAGATGAGAGGCCCGATATGCGCCGCGTTTCAGGAAAATTATCGCATCTCTTTTTGGAGTCGGAGTATTGGTCTACGCGGGTCCAAGTTCCCACCCAAATATCCGTGTCTTTAGCACCCCGTTGAAATGTTGTTATGCTCTCTCTCTAGCCTCTGCCCCATGTAAACTGTCTCGTTACTCCGTATTTTTGAAAATTATTCTCTAATTTTATGATATTATATCAATGATTTTTAATTTTTAAAAATTATTCTATAATTAGTCTTTCATGGACTATATGTGAAAAAATTAATTTTGTCATATTTGGCCTAAAAACTATTCATTGAATAATTTTAAAAAATTGAGGACCATTTATATTATATTTTAGAATTGAGTACTAAATATGAAATTTACTAGTAGCTAGGGGCTATTTATAGAATTTAGTCTTTTATTTACTTTATTTATTAATTTTCGTTACTCTTCTCGTAAAAAAATATAGTCATATTACTATTTGTGTTTCTAAGATTTTTTAATATTTTTTAAAATTATCTTAATTCTCATATAAATTGAATCCAAAATTGTTTCATTTAAATATCGTAAACAGAATAATTTGAATTTCTATGTACTGTGGAGTGCTACCTTCGTCAATAATGAATCATTCCATTTTTTCCATTTCAAAATAGTTACTATGGAGTGCTACTTTTGTCTGATGGAGTATCTTTCTTCTCTACTTAATAACCTAGAAAAGTTTGAATGTTTTCTGGTAAAATTTGATATCAGAAATTTTTGTGGCAAAGAATGAAGCCTGTACTTAGTATTTGCATTGATCTTGTGCTTCGAATAGTTGCTTCCTAGCGCAGTTGCTAGAATCAAACTTGGGTTTTACCCCTGGATACTTCGGCCTTTGCCAAGTGCGCAATGTGTACCAGCAATTTTTTTTCATAACAATTACAATAGAGTGCTACTTTCATCTTATGGACTATGGAGGATTATCTTTCTTCTTTACGTAATAAACTAAAAAAAGTTTGGATGTTTTGTGGTAAAACTAGCTACCAGAAAAAATAAGATTTGTTGTAGTGTTTTTTATGAAGACGAGTACATACTCTGGAGTCTAGATTGATCTCGTCCAAATTGGAACAATCTTTTCAAGGGTCTATCTCGTCTTTTTGCTCATGTCTATTGCAATGAGTGACTAAGAGCTAAACACTATGAACAATACAATGCCACTTGATGGGAAATAATAAGTGGCTCGGCCCACATTTCCCAATTATTTACGAAGAACAGTCAAACCGGACCTGTTTAATGAAATGGAGGAATAAGAGAATATTCCCCGAAGATGCTCCTCCCCCCTCCTATAAAAGGAGGGGTGCCCCCAATGTGAAGGGGAGGCCATTCACTCACTTATCTCCTGCCCAATTCTCTCTCTCACTAGAATATTTATGTATTTTATTTTTTCAAAGAAGCTCCAAGCTTCCATTAATGACTTCCGAGCCCATTTCATGTACCGTGTACAACCCCCGATATTAATAAAAATCCCCCGTTGGCAAGGTACCGCCAAAAAAGGCCTGTGGTTTTCTCCCGATTTGGGTTTCCACGTAAAAATCCTCGTGTTTATATTTTGGTGTATTTTTTAGACTAGTTTATCTTTTTAGCCAGGCTAAAAACGATATACCGGTCGATAATTTACACCATCATTTTGGCGCCGACCGTGGGAGCTAGAGCAAAAAGTCACAAATATTCAATTTTCTTGATCCAAATTTGACAATGGAAAGAACGGGGGGTTTTCCTTCAAAAATCCAAAATGACAAAGAGAAGCCGCCGCCCCACAAAGAGAAGCTGCCGCCGACGCACGATCTTGTAAAATTGCCGGCCTCCACCAATTCGGCCAGCCGTATCACCAAAATCGCCGTCACCACCGAAGAATTCGATCTCTGCCGCCGTCCTTAGTTGCAGCCCAACTTCATCCCCCGGTGAATCGCGCCGTCGCCGGCTCGCCGTTGAAGCCAGCAGCCGGAACTGCCACCACCTTCCTGGCGAGAGGGAGAAAAGTTTTACGAAAAAAAAAAGAGGCGTGAAATTAGCAAATTGCCAGATCCCCCCACCAGATCCTGTGCGACCTTGGATTTCCGGCCTCCACCCTTTGGCTCTACCGTCACCATTGACGTTGCATGAAGCTACTGCTGAAATTGCAAGGCCGCCAAGATCGTCTTCATCACTAAAGCCCTCACTGCTGTCGCCCTTGATCGCAGCCCAATTTCCAGAGACGATTTGCATACTCCGTTAAAGAAAATGGAGGAAAGAATGGAAGGAAGGAATGATCGGGGATCACCTCTGTCCGAGAAGTCGCGCACTAGCCAGGTCAAGCGCCATCCTCAATTCCGTCCGTCGCCACAGCGATGTGATCCGCCTCTGGAGGACTTCGTCCAGACTTGCCATCGCTGCTCAAACCCGCCGCAATCACCACCACAATCAACACCAAGACACCGATGAGGTGATGCCGGAGCAGAAAAAGAGCTGTACCGGCCCAATAGATGGATTCCCAGCAGTGGATCCGATCCACCCTCACTTGAAATCAGCTTTATTATGGGAAGAGATTACTCGTCATTTTTTACTGAAATCTGTCATCGGCTCTAGGCGAATATCCATGCGCCCATACTCCCATTAAGGTCCGCCGCCGTTGCTGAAGCCAACCGCTCCTACACCCATGCACCGTTGAAGCCAACATCACCATTGCTTCTCACTTAAGCCGGCGACTCCACAGCTTTCAGGAATCTAGGTTCTAGAACTTTCAGGCGTTTCAAAGATGCCGCCCACTCTTTGTGCTCAGATGTTCTCGCCGCTGCTCAATTTCGCAGCCGTTGTTGTCGAGATCGGCCGGAAGGATTGTAGGTCATCTCCGGATTAACTACCATTGGTGGCCCCAAACTATTGCAAGGAGAGCCATTGGTTCATTATCAAGATTATCTATCACTGTCAAAGACAACAGCAAAGTGTGGATTCACTCATGGTCATGGGGAAAAATCCAAGTGCTTGCAAATGAGAATGTTTATACTCAAATGTGTTAAAGTGATATGTACCAAAAAGAGGACAAAGTGGCGACCTGGCCTGGGGGAAATAATGCAAGATTGAGGATGGTGGGGTCTATTCATTCCATTATCTTTTGAAATACACCAATTGAGAAACACTCACTACAGTGTTCACGTGCTATCAGGCCCCACAATTGAACTGTGACATATTCTCAAAGATTATTGTCCAGTTGAATGCACCGATCACTCTGCGACAATTTTGGAAAGAAGACTGAGACACAAGCCGAGCTTGGTACGCTGGTTACAACACCGGTCTAGCTCAGTATTAAAAAAAAGAGGAAGACTGAGACACAGGCCTGGCCTGGCACGCTGGTTACTACACCGGTCTAGCTCAGTATAATAAAAAAATATTAAAATATGTGACACAGGCCCGGCCTGGCACGCTGGTAAATATCATTCTTGTGCGCGAGATAGGCCAAGAATGATATACACACCGGTCTTGCACATATTTTCTCGTAAGTCTGAACCCAATCGAATTGGGTACACCGGTGGCTCAGCTGAGCCCTTATCGGGGACGCCCGATTTTTCAGGCCCTTTGAACAAGGCACTCCAGAAGTGATCTCTACATGACACGAAGATATTTGCATCAGTTAGCCGGGCTAGCATCGATCTTCAACAAAGCTGCTGCAACGTACTCAATTCTTATTAACTAACGTCGTTGTCGTCTGTATACTAATTTTGTCACGCATCGTTTGCTTGACTCGTATTAACACTGACCTCGACGAAATAACTTTTCGAAGCATCGTTGCTTTATCGAACTGACATCGCTCTCGTTACAATAATTATTCGCGCGAATCTTAATCACCTAACACCGAGCTCCTCGGTAAAAATAATAATTTTTTGAGCACGGCATAGGCCGGTCAAAAAAAAAGTTGTACATATTATTTTTGCAGGAAAACCTTCTGATTTAAGAAATTAGAGAATTAATGAAGACTCGGATGACTAGCAATAATGTCAACCGGTCAAGAATCCATAGCACGAAGGTCGAAGATAGCACTCGAAGGACTTGTTTAATTACTTTTTCAAGTTGATGATTCTCACAACTTAAAAAAGTGGAGGACTTATTGATGGGAAATAATACGTGGCTCGGCCCACATTTCCCAATTATTTACGAAGAACAATCAAACCGGACCTGTTTAATGAAATGGAGGAATAAGAGAATATTCCCCGAAGATGCTCCTACCCCCTCCTATAAAAGGAGGGGTGCCCCCAATGTGAAGGGGAGGCCATTCACTCACTTATCTCCTGCCCAATTCTCTCTCTCACTAGAATATTTATGTATTTTATTTTTTCAAAGAAGCTCCAAGCTTCCATTAATGACTTCCGAGCCCATTTCATGTACCGTGTACAACCCCCGATATTAATAAAAATCCTCCGTTGGCAAGGTACCGCCAAAAAAGGCCCGTGGTTTTCTCCCGATTTGGGTTTCCACGTAAAAATCCTCGTGTTTATATTTTGGTGTATTTTTTAGACTAGTTTATCTTTTTAGCCGGGCTAAAAACGATATACCGGTCGATAATTTACACCATCACCACTAAACACTAGAAACACTAACGGAATCCCAAGCATTTGACACCAAATGTACACCAAGACTAATATAGACACACATAGACATTTAATATTTGTGTGTGCATATATATTAAATGTTTGGGTGTGACTGTATTAGTCTTAATGTGCATTTGATGTCAAAATTTGGGAGAGGTTCCCCTAACATTTGGTGTCAAAATTTTGAGATTCCACTTCCATGTATGAACAATATTTATCGAGATTGGCTACTAATTGTAGTAAGTGGACATTGAAATGATGTCCACAAAGCCTATCAATCGTATTAGGGAGAGAAAATGGATGGGGAACTATCAAAGACAACAAAGAAAATTTTAAAAAAAAGATCATTCCCGAGGATTCCCTCAGACCCAACCGAGCACAGTAGAGTTTGCACCTGATACTTGCATAGGCTTTTTGCTTAGCATAATTGCTTCCCAACGCAGTTGCTAGAAATCGAACTCAAGTCTTATCCCCCTGGCAATTATTTTCTTGCCAACTGCGAAACGCCCACCACCAACAACAAAAATTTGAAATTTTGAAATCGGGTGTGATAGATACCCTGGACTAGGGGGTATCCAGCCCAATAAAAACAATATCGGCCCAATAGAAGGCCCATCTAGCTCTAGGGATTCGGATGCGCTCAACTAAAAGCACCATAGATACAAAAAATGAAGTAGGCGTTTTTATCCAATAAAGATAGATGTAGAGTATTTACTTGTATAATGTGGGTATTCTATCAAAATAAAAAAATTTGAAATCACAAAAATTAAATAAATAGAGAAATGTCCTTATATGTAATTTAACTTACAAACAACTAATTATAAACAACTAAAGTTGTCAAATGTTTAATTTTTATTAGACAACACAAAAAGCAGGTCAAAACATCTAACTTTATCAGTCATTCAAACAAGCCAACATAAACAACCAACAACCAGTTTCCATACAAGGCCTATATTTAGTTATTTACATTACCTAAATAACACTCAAACATAGCGTATTTTCCAATGTAGTACTCCCTCCGTCCACCTAAGATCTTCTCATTACGCGTTACGAGGCTTGACCGACTTTATTTTCAATTAAATTTAATTGATTATACGAGTAAAATTTAAAAATAAAATTTATATAGTAATAAACTACATGAAAAGTTCTACAAAACTAGAGGTGACAAGACTATATTATTTTACGAAATGACTAGTAAAAATGAGCAAACAAAGTGAGTAAAGTTTGACTCTGTGAATAGTGTCCGGGAAGATCTATGGTGGACAGAGGGAGTATCATATTTTTTTCCAACGTTGTATCATTGTTCAATATTCACTGATCATTATATTGTTCAAGTAAATGTTCACCGCCACTGGACATTTTTCAAGCTAAATGTCCAAAATTGTTAGACATTATTTCCGCCACTAGATATTATTTCTGCCACTAGACATTATTTAAGTATTTTTTAGTAAATAAAAAAGTTTAATACTAATTGGGAAAAAATACATGTTTTAGTACTATTTAGTACAAATTTTACAAGTTAAAAAGTACTCCGTATAAAAACTTGACAAGTACTCAAAATATTGTAGAGACCTGAAAAATACTTTTAAGAAAATATAAGAATTTAGTAAGATTTTTTTTCTAAAAAGAAAACAAAGCGAGAAAATAAAAAAAAGGAGCATTGTTTAGAAAATCTTTTGGGAAAAACCATCCCTCCCAAAATGGGGGATCCACCACAGCATGGCGGGGAGTTATGGAGGAAGAAATCATTGCCCCGAAGTCTTTATCCTAAGCGTTGACAAGTACGGGGAAAATGGAAAGTCAACCCTTTTCCCAATCAATGCGGCCATAAAATCGAGCACTCCAAATTGCAATCTTCATCATCTTCACCGGCCAACCCCCATTATTACTTCCGCCATGGCCGCTAGATCCGCCGCCGTTTCACTCGCCCGTTGCCTCCTGTCAATTTTAATCATCAATTCCGGAAAACTAATCAGCGCCGGGTGCGCACCGGCCGGCAAAATGACGTGCAACGGCGTGACGAAGGCCACATATAACTGCTCTCCTCCGACGACCTCCGCGACGCCCGCCGTTCTGACCCTCAACGACTTCAGCAAGGGCGGGGACGGGGGCGGCGCGTCGGAATGCGACGGGAGGTGGCACAACAATAGCTTCCGGATGGTGGCGCTGTCGACGGGATGGTACGACGGAGGGCGGCGGTGCGGGAGGATCGTGCGGGTCACGAGGGGGGACGGGCGGAGGAGCACGACGGCGAAGGTGGTGGACGAGTGCGACTCGATGATGGGGTGCGATGCGGAGCACGCGGGGCAGATGCCGTGTGACAATGACATCGTGGACGGGTCGAAAGCGGTGTGGGAAGCTCTGGAGTTAGATCAGGACTTGGGTACGGTCCCCGTAACTTGGACCATGGCCTAAGTGTAATTCACTATTTGCCCAATCAAATTTTATCTACTAACCACTTGTTTTTACTTAATGTTGTTTTTACTTTTTACTCCTTTGATTAAAAATACTCCCTCCCTTCGTCCTAAATTGTTTATCGCATTTCAAATAACGTGTAAAACAACAATTGTTTTAAAATTGTTTTATTTATAAATTGATAGTAGGGGTGGACACGGTACGGTTCCGCTTTCGGAATCGCCGGTTCCGGTACCGCCACCCCATGTCACCGGAACCGTCACCGTGCCGGCCGGTACCGGTTCCGGTTCCCGGACCGGCGGTTCCGGTACCGGACCGGCCGGTTTCGGCCCCCCTCCTTTTTTTTTTTGCTTTTGTTAAAATTTTTAAAGTATAAAATCGTAAATTTGCAATTGTTTAAGGAAAGAATGAAATAAAAAATCTAAAAATGTAGTTGTTATTTATATTTTAAATGAATAATACACTAACTGAATAACAACCACATTTAATATCCTGACGGTTCAAAATAAGCGACGAGGTAAAGAACCGTAAAGAAACCCTCGAAGGAGCTTATATATCGCTCACCTAAAAAAAACTAATTACATATCTACATTAACATAAAAAAATTGTAACTTATTCTTCAGAACTCGGACTTCCATCTGTTGTTGCATTCATGTAATGCTCCGATTCGAGTAGGTACGATGACTCTTGAGCTCGACGTCTTGCCAAGAGCCAATCTTGGTTGCAAACCAGTGTTTCAAGATATTCAGCGCTAAGACAACTTCGAAAGTCGGTTAGAATGTTGCCGCTAGCACTGAATTCTCGTTCAACTGCTACGGTTGATACCGGAACGGATAACACTTGTCTTGCTAGCATGCCGAGACATGGGAACATGTGTTCGTTCCGCTTCCACCATCCGAGCACATCAAAATCCACGTCGTCGTCGTCGTAATCGCATGGCACACCCTGGTACA